TATTTATATTATACATACACTTACACTCACAAAAAGACAGAGAGAAAGAGAGAGGAGGAGGAGGAAAGAGAGAATGGGGAGAAAAGGGAGGAGATAGAGCAGACAGACGGGGGGAGAGACAGAAAAAAGGAAAAGGTCTATAGACATGTCATTATCTAGTGCTTTTCGGCCGACACTCTACAATTTCCCCTCTTTATGGAACAGCCAATGGACTACTTGTATACGAACCAAATTGTCATTAAATATTATCTCGAAAATCAAGATGGAGAAAGGAGGGGTGGGGAAAAGGGAAGAAAGGAGGACTCGGGTTGTTTTGTTTTTTATCAGCTACGCAGAATGGACAAACACTTTGTAAAATATGTATTCATCCAACAAACACTGTTATATTAATAAACGTGTGTGGTGTTATGCTGTTCGCTGAAGTAAACAAAAGAAACGAGTTCAGTTCCCTAGTTGAGAAGTTTGTTTTAATGAGAAGCCAGCCCTCCTGCTCGGAAAGTGAATACCGTTCGGACACATATATTTATTTTCAATATTTTCATGGAACTGCTGCATGATTCGGAATCTGAGAGCTGGGTCATAGGTCAACTGAATACTAAAAACTGGTACCAGATTGAGGGTACAGAGAGACAGAAGTAACTCTGCAGAGAGACTAACAAGTTGACAAAGAACAATCAATACTGACAATAATTTCTGTTCTGCCTTGACTACGAGGGCGAAGCACATAATATCTGATATGTTCAAATAGGGCTGAGAGTTACACCGTTTGTAGGGAACACAACTCTCTGTGGCGTCAGTAGTCTAGTGGTTAGGCTGCTAGACCGTAGTCGTGAGGTTGTGGGTTCGGGGCTTCGACGTTGTGTCCTTCTGAAAGGCACTTTACGTAAATTTCCCATTTGGCTCTGTTCTTTCGCAGATGGACGTTGAATTCGGAGGTCATGCCTCTTAAATAACCTAATAGTGTTGGTAGCGACGTTAAAACTTATACTAGTTCACCCTTTTCACAACTCTCCTGCAGAAAGACGAAAGACATATTACAACCTATAATTGGACTGTTTTGAATCTTGAGCTGACCCAGTTGGTGATAAGTGAAGGTGGTCTTTTAGATTGGGAACGGGGGAGGGGAGGGGGGTCTCAAGATTCAAAGTAATCAGAAACTCTTGAGACAGTGGGACACATGGATAGATCAACAATAAATGAAGACCTGAGAGCAAGACGGAACCAAAGTCAATTTTTGATGAACGGGGAAAAACGGCAAAAACCATAGACTTAAACTTAAGTCAATATATTTGCTTTTAAATACACTTCAGTTTCCTCCCCAGCCCCCCCCCCTTTTTTCCTTCCATTTGCTGATTTGTACACACACACACACACACACACACACACACACACACACACACACACACACACACACACACACACACACACACACACACACACACACACACACACACACACTCAAGAGCTCCATACACCAATACCAGAACAGCATCCAAGAACATTCCACTGAATTGAATAAATCATGTGAGAAATGTGGAATAAATAAAAAAAAGTGCTCAGCTGGGATACAAGTAATGAAGACCTCCAGATACCAATCCCTATAAATATCCAAATTAACAACACAAAACTGAAGCAGATACAAAAGTTCAAATGTCTAAATCAACAACATACAACTGAAACAGGTACAAAAATTGAAATGCCTTGGAAACCTGTTCATATCGGACTGGAACATGGACTGAGAAATTGAAACGTGGGTACAAAAGGCAAATTTAATGAGGTCATAGACCAACTAGATAGTGGTCATCCTCTCCCATCAAAACATCTTGATGAAGACAAATAGGAAACAATCCAATAAATCAATTTTCATACTCGCTACCAGTGCCAGGCCTGGACCCACCATAAAACACAGCAGAGTGGAATAACAGCCTGCGAAATGAAAGATCATAGAAAAACGTTAAACATCCCGAAAAGAGACTCATAAAGAATAAATGAATACATCGGACATTAAGTGACCATCGAATCTCGAATCGCACTCAACAACAAAATGATTAAGTGGTTTGAACACGTTCTGAGATTAGGGCCACAACAGCCAACGTCTACGGCCTACAACATGCCAATCGATGGTTTATATATATATATATATATATATATATATATATATATATATATATATAATATATATATATAATATAATATTATATGCAAAATAATATATACTTACACATGCTGACAATGTTTACAAGCTATCTCTATCGGGTGCATTCTTCACAAATATTATTTTTGCAAAAGCTTACTTTGCAATTGTCGATTATTTGTAAAATATTATTGTACCATGATTTCTTTCGCACATCGACAAAAAAGCACTGCCTCCTCCTCCTCCTCCTCCACCTCCTGTCTGTCTGTCTGTCTGTCTGTCTGTCTGTCTGTCTGTCTGTCTGTCTCTCTCTCTCTCTCTCTCTCTCTCTCTCTCTCTCTCTCTCTCTCTCTCTCTCTCTCTCACTGTCTCTTGCTCTCTCTCTCGCTCTATTCATCTATCTCCATCACTCTCTAACTCTCTTTTTCTTTCTTATTATAAAAACTCGTCACAGTCAAGTATACATTTATCAACTCCATTGCAGCAGCAACACCACCAACACCACCATCACCACCACCACCACAACCACCACCACCAACAACAGCACCAACAACAGCAACAGCATCAGCAACAACAACAGCCGCAGTATCAGTAACAGCAAACAAACAAACAAACAAACAAAGCAACATATGGCAACAACAAAAGCAGCAATAATAATCGGTTGTTTTTAGATCGCGAACTATAAATGATAAAAATCATCAACCTCCAGGTACAGCCTTAAACATGACATGTGACTCAAACAATTAATTAGCCACGTCACCATCAGATCTGTTCCTACGTGTTTCGCCTGGATTTTTGTCGTCTTCTCTTTATGTCATAGTCTTTCAATCATCAATTCTTCACACCTCTTCCTTTTTTTCCAGTCAGCAACGTGTCCCACAGCACATCAAAACCACAGCACTGATCATCAACCAAGTTCCACTACTAATGTCCAGCAACACTTGTCTGTCACCATTTTAGCTTTCAATTCTGTCATCAGTCTGAATCTTGTTATATGTTGTTGTTGTCAGGACCACTGTTTTCTTTTGTTCCGTTTTTTGTTTGGTTTTTGTTTTGTTGTTGTTGTTTTTTAATCAGTTTATTTTCATCATTCTAAAGTATCATCCAGCAAACTGGTACTATTACGAGTCGTAATACGCATTCTCCTTCTCTTGGTGGTGAGCTTAACAGACAAGGACAAACTGTCAGGTAGGTGGACGTCTAAGCTACATCTAATGTGTTTAATGCATATTTTACGCTCCCATACACACAATACACGCTGCCACAGGCACACTCACAAGCGCATACGCACACACTTACAAACACACACACACACACACGTACACACACACACACACACACACACTCATGTGCGAGCGCGCACACACACACATACACACACAGACTCAAACACACATCTTCAAACACAGGCACAGAATAACACATGATCGCGCGTGAGTGTGTCTGTGTTTGTGTGTGTTTGTGTGTGTTTGTAAGTGTGTTTGCATGCTCTTGTGAGTGTATTTATGGCTGCGTGTATTGTGTGTTTCTTTCTTTTAGGGGGCAGGCTGCTTCGACCCTGCCTCCCATGGCCGACCTGGTTGGTTAGGAGGGATATAGAATTCCTAACATAAAGACAGGGATACTAATTTCTTGTAAAACCACACACTCCCCAACACGAGAATCGATCTCAAGTCTTCTCGTTCAAACATCAGAGTTCTGAATCAACGTATGGATGGTGTGTTATTTTGTGCCTGCGTATAAAGATGTGTGTATGAGTCTGTGTGTGTGTTTGTGTGTGTATGTGTGTGTGTGTGTGTGTTTGTGTGTGTATGTGTGTGTGCGCGTGTGGGGTGTGTGTTTGTAAGTGTGTGCGCATACGCTTGTGAGTGTGCCTATGACTGCGTAGTATATTGTGTGTATGTGACCATGTTTTTAGTGCAAGTACAATATGCGAGTGAGTGATTGCTTGTCTGTTCTTATATAAGCAGGGCAGAGGTACTACCATAATATGTAAGAACGCAATTGTCCGACGAAAATTTATTCATTTCATGTGCATAATAACTGAAAATGAGCATTGTTCGGGTCAATTATACAACCTTTTGATGGCCTGTGCTCCACTGGGAGTTAAAAAAAGGGCAAGAGAAATGCAACCTCCCGATTTCGTATGCCCTTCCCTCGTTTGTTTTTTGCACATCTTTGAGAGGCAGAAAAGAAACCGCTCCTGGAGAAGCTAACCGACCAACAGATAGACGACGCCATCTCTCTCAATAGACGCTCCCCCCATCATGTGGTTAAGAAACAGCGTTGTCTCAGTGGGTCTTGTGGGGCTTTGTGTTATGGTGGAAGGTAGGTATCTCGTGTGTGTGTGTGTGTGTACATGTGTGTGTTTGTGTGTGTGGGGGGGGGGTGTCTGTGTGTGTGTTCCTGTGTGTAAATTATAAATTTTTTGTATGCACTTGTGCATCTATTTGCATGTGTGTGTATGTGTGTGTATGTGTGTGTGTATGTGAGTGGTATTTGTGCGTGTATGTGTGCGTGTGTGTGTGTGTGTGTGTGTGTGTGTGTGTGTGTGTGTGTGTACGTCCGACGGTGCTTACATGAAAGTAACGACCGACAAACACTTATCTTCCAATTCTGTGATAATGTTCTTTAAGAGTAAGTGTAAGAGCAAGTGCTGTGATTTTGTGGCGAATGCATGTTAGAGGCACCATTATGCCGCTAGGGAGCACACTTCTA